TATAGTAGTAAGGATTTTATATGCATAAAGGTGGAAGGATATGATATCCATAATTTTTTTTTTATATATGATAACAGCAGCAAGGTTTTTAAATGCATAGAGGTGGAAAGATAAGACATTATCTGTAGTGGAAGAATGGTTTGTGAGGTTGATGGAGTTGGCTGAGATGGCAAAATTGATGGTTTTGACTCGAGATAAGACGCTGTGTAATTTTAGTGTTAACTGATTTTTTTTTAAAAAAAATTGGACTTTTTATGGGATATAAAAATGAAATTATGTTGTATGGGTCTGATGGTTAGAAATAATATGGGTTAATAGAAATAATGGAAATTATGTTGTAAATTTAGACGGAAAATTTGATGTATATTGTTACTTATATCTGTTGCAGGGTGGGTCAGAAGTCCTTTGTTGTTGTTTTCTTTTCTGCACTTTTGCTTTTTACTCTTTTCTTTTTTTCCAATTTTTTCTTTTTTCTCTTATTTTCTTTCTTAATATTAGTTTGGGTTAGTTTTTACTGTTCTTTTTTAAAAAATAAAAAGTTAGTATAAAAAAAAAATCCTTCAAGAAGATGAGGTGAAAACATAATTTAAATCTCTCTTCCCACCTACTACATTATGGATGGAAGGAAGGAAAGGGGAAAGGGAAAACAAAGACTGAACAGAGTTTTTTTTTTATCAGCGTCAATAGCCCTACAATGTCCATATGGCCTGACTAGTATGCCATTTTTTTGTATCACCTGCTGCTACTTGAGTACCCATGTTATGCTTATTTTAACTATTTTTTAAACAGAGTTGTCACTGAATAATTGATTATCACCACCAGCCTTAGAGCCTTGGTCCAATACCAGCTACGCAACTAACTAGGGATACTGAAATTCTGATAAGAAGCATGATAAAGCTCTTTTGAATCTGGTTTCACTTTCTGCTTGATCAGCACAGTAAAATCTTCTGGGCTCACCACTAAGGACTGCCCTAGTAGTCCTTCTATTGACCTGGTCCCAAGAATCAACTATGATAATAAATTGAGAACTTTTCAGTTTTTCATTAGTCAAATCTCCTAATATGCACTGTTTCCAATTCTAATTTTCCTTCCATCAGCAAATTTCTCTGCATATTTATTGATTAAATAGAAATTTGGCCAATATTATGCATTATCATAGCTTTTTGATTATCTCAATTAATCTATGTAAACCAGGTTCAAGATACCGTCATGTAAAGTTTATGTTGAATACATAGTATGAAATCTATGTGCATTTCTTATTATGACTATGATCTACAATAATAATTATATGATGAATAGTCCATTCATAAAGTTCTTCAGTTTGTAATCCAGTATTACTTCACTTAAAAGTGGTTAAAGTAAGTACAACGTATGCAAAAGCATGTTCTATATCCAATTCTTTCTATACAAATAAAATACCTATACTTACTTTCCGAGGGCAAAGCATTCTAGTTTTACAGTTGATCCTTTAGCAGCAGGAAGTGTTTCAGGAAACTGAACTTCTATTTTGGGTTCATATTCTCCCATTACCCCTGTTATTCCAGAAAAGGGAAAGAAAGAAGAAAGAATCTTAGCACCCTGATCAGCAACTGTACAAGAAATCTATTGAAGTAGAGATGCATTACTGCTTCCATAGCCATTGCTTTTACACTAACCTCTGATCCCTTGATTGACAGCTGATATGACTCAACATGCCAACTTTTGCTGGTACCTCAGGTAGTTCCTTTTAACATTAGAAAATGTAGTATAGTGTAAGAAAATAGAGAATGTAGTAGAATGTAATAATTAGCTAGGTAACTTTGAAACTTGTCTGTTGCATTAAAACTTTTTCTTGATATTTCATGCATGCACAGACACATCTGCCTATAAAAATGAAACAGCAGCACAACTCTGATGAACTGTTACAGATCTTGATTGAGATTTTGAGTGAGTGGAAAAAGTAATTTATTATACATGTAGAAATAACAGCTAGTATAAATGAAAAGCCATAATCAGTATACAAGCTTTTGGTGTATGGAAATGTACATCTGGTATCTCTGAATTCCCTTCATCAATAATTTGTGTTGTAACTATGGTTGGGGTGAGGGGACAAACTTGTACTGAAGGTAGGTTAAGGGAGATCCTCCCTTTCTGTGAACAACGGAAGTAAGTAAAAAACAAACCAAGGAGTTGGCATACTTATTTTCCTTCCACATGATCCCATTCCTGCTCCAAACCTTTGCACTGGTAGTATAGTTTACAGGTGATGTTTCATCTGTTGCAATCTATCATTCCTTGAAGTTAATTGGTTATGGTAAAATAACTGTGACTGTTACCCACAGTGAAAAGTTCTACACTTAATTATACATGCTAAAGTTGAAGTTGTTTATAAATAGGAACAAGAAAAGGAGGTGCAATCACATTAGCTAGCAAAAACAAAAACAAAAAAAAAACCAGACAGTAAATTTTATGGCAATTTACAGAGTGTGTTTCAAAATTATATATAACACAATTGTGCTTTCCAAAAATATACGTAGGTATGCAATAAAACCATATACAATTGGCTATACCACATTAGTATAAATGCATACCATCAGTCCGTAGCACCAAAGGTGTTGGTGACCCAAGGATGTTGGTGTTAGTTAGTGCACTGGTCACAACACAGGTGTAATTTCCTACATCAGATGGCTCTACTTTAGCTATGTAGAGATGCCCAGTTTCCTGAGAAACAAATCTCCGACTATCTTCTTGCACAAAAGTTGGGTATTCATTGAAGATCCAAGCATAGGAAAGTTCTGAAAATAATAAGTGAAAATATACATGCAAAATTCCATCACAAAATAATATGTACTTGTAAGATGCTAAATCTGAACATTTTACATACTTGCAAAGAATTATGGCCCATATCAAATGTAGTAATTTATTAAGTAGACAATTTCATGCATCTTTTCCCAATTTTTAAAAATAAGGATTGTATCTTAATGTACCTTTAGAACACTTTTTAAAAATTTAGTTCTTCATAAGACCAGGCACCTATATTTATCTCAATATTTGTTCATTCAACACTTATCACAAGAAGATGGCAATGGAGCAGCAGCTTCCCTGCTGAGTTCCTTATGATCTTTTATTTGTTTAGGCAAATAATCTAGCTACATATCTTGATTTTTATCCTACTGTATTTAATAAACATATTCTCTGAAAGAGACATTTTAAATCTAAACAAGTTCCTAAAGCCTCGCAAAGCCTTCAGATACAACAGATTGACACTGAAACAATGGGAAAGAACAAGAGGACAAGCCCAGGCACACAGACCCTACCTAACCCAGCAAACCAGCCAAACATTTATGACTACACGATGGACAAGAAAACTATGAGTAAAAAATAATAGCAAACCAAATTCTATGATCCCATCCCTATCAATCCCTACCCCTAACCGTTAGGGTATCTTGAAATGGGATCTGGAAACAGAAATCAAAAAACTACAACTATTACACCTCTTCTCAATCAAACCATCTGATTGAATCTCTGTCCTTTTTATCCTTCTCCGTTGTGAATACATTTTTGATGAGGGAAGAGCAAGTCAAGCAATTGACAGAGGAATTCATAACAGGCTTTGCTGCTAGACAATGCCTATTAACTGCACAAACTGTAATTTCAATTTCTGAATGTTTCACTTCTATAAATACAAAGGTGAACTCTTCCAAAACAGCCTTTGAAACTTTCATGCAAAGTTATGCAGATAAGCTAGTAGCATTTACAGTAACTTAAACGCTTATTACAAAATACATATTGAAGCACAGGAGAAAAGTAAAGGAAATGAAACCCCAAATTTCACCTATACCAGATTACTTCCAAAATACTATCACATAGGTTGCTATATATGGGATATGAAATCCTTCTGTATGAAGTGCCTGAGACACATTGAAAATAAATGTTTATTAACTAAAACCCCTCACATACTTACAATAAATATGAATCTAAAATTGACTATGTATATGGATTATGGTTATAGTTTCCTTACAAAACACATGTTCTGAATGCTTAGGACCACCGAAACCAAAAACTAAGTCCCAACCCCCCAAATTCTTCCCAATGAATTTCCCCACCCCAAACCCAAAGTACACCCTCTCGTCTCCTTTCCCAAGCATGATCTGTCTTTCTAGCTCAGGCACTCCCATCATGTTTTTTATGAAATTTTACTTGGCTTGTGTTAGAGTTAATGTCTGAATTAACATGAAAACCCAACTATATTTTGTCCTTAAAGTAATGGAGTTTGGCTTTGTAATTTTTGTACAAATGTAATTTGAAAATCCACATAGCCACCATGTCTACAAAATTATTTGCAGCTACAGAATAAATAAATAAATGTATTTGTTAAATTTGTATTCAGTATACTATCATTATTTTCAAGGAAAAATAACATTTGGTGTGCATTTTTGAGGTTTGTATTCTTTTACTATTATTTATTACAAGTTAAGGTAATCATTACAGTTCCTTTGTTGACATAATGGAGGAGAAATAGTTGTTCAAACTATATTTATTATTAGGGTTATGCATCAATCACAGATCTTGTTGATCCACGTAGCTAATTTACAAATCACTGTATTTTCTTCCCAGTAGATCTTTCTGAAATGATAATACCCGATCAGTCGCAGAGAAATATGCGCAGAAGCTTTTGAGTTTGGCCCCATTTTTCAAAACAATTATGTGCCTTTCAATTTGAAAGAATAGTTGCCTCTGTCTGCCTAATTTCAGATTGATAACTGCAGGTGTTTTTCTGCAAAGGGAATGTCCTTGATTTGTGCTCTTGTTAAACAAGTGATTTGAATGACTAAATGCCTAACTATTTCCGAATGTGATGTGCTGTAAAAATCATGTATCAGTGAGAAATTTTAAGTACTAGGTTAAACGGAATATATTTTGAGTATGAAATACCACATTTACACAATCAAAACCATGAAATTTAAAAGATGTTAATAATAGGAGTTGAAGGGCATCCTTTTACACTTAAACAATTTAAATATTTAATTTACTATCCATTTTTTTCTTCAAAAAAATTCTGGTGGTTTATAATAATACAGCTATTAAAATGGATTCACAATAAAACCACAAAACATGAAGATACAAGCTCAAAGATGATAAATACTTAAACGTAATCCAAGCCATGCTAATAGTACCTGCAAAAATAAAGTTTTCCATAAACTTTCACAATCTCAGTGTCATTACATAACTCTCATCTCAGTCAAAAGCTCTTATTTTAGGTGAAAGCCTCATATCCAACCCAATGTTATACTGCCATTTGGTATGAAACATTGTTTTTTCTGGTATAAGGCTTTCAATACGATTAATTAAGAGTTTTGAAAGTAGAAACCAGATCTTTAAATTGAGCTCAGCACCAGAGTGGGATTGGGGATCCCTTAACCTTAAGAGGAGTGAGGCACTGATGATCAGAACAGAATGACTTTGAAATATTAGAAGTATTAGAGAACACAGCTATGAATGTTACAAGTGCTCCCTTTAGGCAAAATATTCTGCTATTCTGTTATGTATATCATCGCCTGTGCTGATGTAATCTTTATTTGCCAATCTGGCTAGTTTATATATATAGGATGTCATCTAATCATGGATACCTGCTACAATTTAAGATGATTTTTAAAAAATGTGCCTTGCAATGTCACAAACACAAACACTGGCCCTATGTATTGTGTCCTGACATTGGATGCAATTATATAAATCCTGGGCTCTATATCATGTCATCACAACACATTTTGCCACTTCTCCTCCCTCCCCCCCTTGGGCACTAGTACATCTAATCATTTGCTCAGCAGCAACATTTCTTGGTCCACTTCTGTCTGGCTGTCAGTATAATGATTTCATAACAGGAGAGGTGTTCTAGATGAATGGTCCCAGTTAAAATATTACCAGCTATGCAGTAATTCTATATGGTTTCCAAAGCCAGCTTGCATACATTGTATTGAGGTACTGCAGCTGTTCCACCTAAACCTCTCTTAGGTTAAATAAAATCAAGAGTATGCCTGTTTTGAATAAATATTAGGGTTATAAACAAATCTGCAGTTATCTTTCCTCATTTGCACTATGATTCGGAGACAAAGAAAAACAGTTATGAATATATCACTAAAAAATGCTTTATGATTTCACAGGAAGATGCCAAGAGGATGCTGGTCTGGCTAGCACAAACTTTTCTAGCACCTGTTAAAAGTTCCTCCTCTTTTCATTCTTGTCTTTCAGTTTGCTCTGTCTTTTTCCCAATAAATTAGTGTAAATTACTCAGCATGAGCACTGTGACATTTACAGTGCTACAAGCTGATATTAATAATACTTGGATGAGCATTTTCTGCTGCAAAAGAGATGATGAGCCTTGTAAAATAAAGAACAAGAATCTTGTTATAAAGAGGTAAGCAAGAAAGGCATCAAAGCCAACATATCATATCCGTATCTATATTGTGAACAAATTTTAAAATTCCTAAGTCTTACACACACCACACAGGAACAGCTAGGACAGGGGAACGACTCCATCTTCCAGCTGTGATTAACTGCAGGGGGAAGAGGGGAGAAGCAGAGGCTTTCCACAGTGGAAAGCCTCCAGTGGGACACTTTGGGGATGGGATGGAATGACCTTTTCATCCACTGACTCCAAAGCTACTTCATTCTCCATGGATGTTCCAGTATCAGTGCCCCTGGTGTAGCAATTTTAGACGATGCAACTGATTTACTCTGCTGAAATAAAATGGGAGCGACAGAGGAAAAACAATACAGCAGGAGTTTTGCCCTCATTTCTTACCCTGGCGAATACACTCTGAAAGACCTTTCAAAGTAGCAACACATGAGGTGCTATCTTTCAACTTTTAACTCCATTTAGGGCTGCAATGGATGCTTTAAATTTATACACACTTACATGAGAGTAAGTCTTAGTAGGATGATAAATAGCAAGTGGGGAGAAGAGAAATCATAAGCTGGTGGCAAATTACTAGGTGGTTATCAAGGTCATCTTTCATCTCCTGAAATCATTAAACTATTTTCAAATAGTTACATATCCTGAACCTTTGTAGTGAACTATAGATTTCTATGTATATACAGCGTGCAGATAAATCTAGTTGCCATTTTATACTTGATGCTCTTTATGTTCTATACTAAGTAGGCCCCATTAAGCCAGAAAACTACCATTCTTGCACATACTTATTTGGAAGTAAGTTCACTATATTCTGTGAACGAGCACATGCTTACATTTTTCTGCATAGGACTGCCATTTCCATTTATCTCAAATTTTCATTGATTCTCTTGGAAAGAGGGCACTATGTTCCTTCTGTAACCCACCACAAGAATTTAATTTTATATTGACAGAGTCCTAACAAAATAGGATTATTTTCCAATAACTATGTATTAAACACCTTGCTGCAGAGATTTTGTTTATTCTATTCACCCCTTTCTAGAGATATTACTTTAAGAAAAATAAACTTTCCCCTGTCAATTATACTTCTTCAGACAATTTCCTATTAAACATAGTAGTTATGATTCTTAACAATGTCCTGGGAAATATTTCTCCAACTCAGATATTTTTAAAAACAGAAGGCATGAAATGTTGTGTTATTTGGTATTCAGAGCTCCTCTTTTGCATCTAGTGCTTTTTTTCTGTTAACTCATAATTTACTTTATACTTCCTTTCGTCTGGATACCAGACAGTCACAGGCAATTGTGGGGTACGGGAGAGAGGAGGAGCAAACCTCAAATGGTCGGTAGCATCAACATGATGAAAACTGCCCTTTATACAC